TCTCTCTCTCTATCTCTCTCTCTCTCTCTCTCTCTCCATTCCTCCCTCTTTCTCCTCCTCCTTCTCTGCCTCTCTCTCTCTCTCTCTCGCTCTGTCTATCGTATTCCGCGTTCCTCTCGCGCGCTCGCGCGTTCTTCGGCCTCCGGAGCGAGTCGCAGCATCCGTTGGACCGTTCCGGACTTCAGTCCACGTCGAGAACGCGCCACTGTCGGGACCTCGAAAAGTGACAACCACCCGTAACTCTGCGACCGACGTCGCGTGTCGAAAAGTTCACTGACAAATCTAGCCCGAGACGTACCACGGTACCGTAAGCTGCCAGGAGCTTAGGGAGAAAAGGAAAGCGATCAAGAAGCGAGAGAAATTATCGGGGACACAATCGACGCGCGAGATCTTTCGAACAAGATCGAATCAGTTGAGCGACTCAAACGACGCAACGCTTCCTCGGTCGTGATCCTCTATCGAAATCGAGCAAGTAGATTCATTCGATTCGCGAGCCAGTACTAACCTAGTATTAGGTCCGATAGCTTGCGATTAACGCTGGTACCGGCCTCGCTCCGTTGGTACCGGGCGCGCGTCACGGAAGTGCGCCGCTTAGAGAAGTCGGCGAGTTTCGCGAGACATTCGGAAGGCGATCTCGTTAACGAGTTTCCGGAACTGCCTGAGTTACGGAGGAACAACGTCCGAAACGTCAGAAGCGAGCTGCGGGTACCCACTGGATGCTCTAAGGGCTCGCAGATTATCCCAAGCCGGGTTAGCCGGTCACGTTCTGATGCCGAGCGCACGTGCTGAGCGCTGATCGTTGAGGGTGCGGAGCACGAGGGAGCAGAACCACGAGGGCCCACAGGGAGAGCTGAAGAAGAGAGATCTCGGGCCGGGGGACTGCCGGGAGTTGTTGCCCAGCCCCGGCGAGGCGGACATCGGGCCCGGATGCTCGCGAGGACGAGACGCCGGAAGCGCTGCCACGTTGGAAGGGAAAATATTGACGGCCGTCAACAAGTTCCTTACAACGTCCCCTTTGGTTAACAAGGTCAAGTTGCTGATGGTGAGTACCGCTTTCTCCTTTCCCCACAGTCTGTCTCACCCTCTAGTTCTCTCTTTCCCTCGTTCTCTCTCTCGCTCTTCGACCCCCTTTCCACTTTCTGTCGCAAGTACGTCCGCGCGGCCACTGACTCGGCCTCCGTTCAGTTTCTCGCTTTCTCGCTTCACGTAGGAGGACACATGTTCTCGAGCTCGCTTTGAATGCAGTTAGTTCGCAGTTGTTGCACGGCACTCGTCGCGATTGTACCGTCCGCGGGAAGTTTCAGGGTGATGTTCGCCGTTGCAGCGGGGAAGGTACAAGATATCGACACGATTTCGACCGTTGATGGGGTAAATCAGTTCTTCAAGTGAGATTCCCGTCGATATCGGTCACGCTTCGTGTACAGAAGAAGAAAAACGATCAGAATTTTTAGTGATTAAGACGCGGGACACTCTAAATTTTCCGGCACGTCACGGCGCTCGAGAATGTGCCTTCGAGCTTCGAGCTCTCAGGTGCCGCGGAGAGCTTTAAGCTCTCGATGTAACCGACGTTTTAATTAGCGACGAAACCGCTTTGGACAACGTGCTCGTCTCATGTGTTTCATTAATTTTGGATTCTATCGGGACGCGCGTAAGCAATAAAGGTTAGCGCGTGGTTCATTATTAGAATTCCTCACTTAGTAGATGTCATGCATAATTTACGATTATTCACCGACCTTCCGCTTTGAAGCTTAACCGTCCCTGATACGGGCTTCCCATCGTCATGGAGAGCTTGACGGGTCGTGAAGCATAATTGTCGATCCACTTTGCGCCACTGATCGTGTCGACGCGGCAGTGTCACTCGGATATTTGTCACCCAATACCTATTTGTTTTGCAGCGAGGTGATTTTTGTTGAATTTACCAGATAGAAACTTGCCAGTTCCATAAATGTCGGCGTCGGAAAAACTGATGAAATTCACAAATGAAGTGATTGTTTCGGAATCGCTGAAATATCTCCGATATTTTATTAGCCAGCAAATAGTTTCTGCGTTTTTTTTGCTTCCTTTGAAATAATAACGATTAGTCGTATCCAAGTAATTAGAACCGGCGTGACGATGATTCAGACTAATATGATAAAATAAATCACGAAATTACCGTGAGAATTACGAGAACTTTGAATTTTAGCGATTTTACGAGACTCAACCAGTCTCGTGTACGATACTATTTGCGAAGCAAAATTCGCGACTGTGAGCAAACAATAACTGCTTAATTCTTGGAGAGAAAGGATTAATGCCGTGAATAGCACGTTACATTCTCGGAAATTAGAGATAAGCTGTCGCATATCATAATTAAACCTTCCCTTACTTGTATACTTTTCGAATTTAGGAGAATTCTCTAAAATCTGCAGAAGTTGCAAAAGCGGTTTACATAAGTTCGAAGAAATCCCGTAGTTTAATTTGGAACAGTTCGTTTGAGGGAGTGCTTAACTTTTAGCGCTACACAGCGTTAACGCGTATTTCGTCCGAAGTTTACTTTCACAGTTTTCAGAAATTCTTACGCGCAAATTATCCTTGGTTACGCGTTGTCGAAATACCAAGTCTCCGATAACACGGAAAGCTGAATCCGTTCTACACAGTTCCCGTAGAACACTAATTGGCCTAATTGTTGTATTCTTTTACACACAACGGACGAGAAACGTATCTGTTCAATTGTAGTGCATCGGATGTTTTTAATTTAGCTAATAGTTTTTCATTAAACAAATAGGGGAATTCACGACTCGACGGTGAATTCCACGAGAACGTCATGAAACCTTTCGAAATGCCCACCCCTTTTTCAACGCACACGTCTACCGTCATGCCGAAGTAACGCGCAATTAACTGCATTCCTGCATATTCGTTCCCACACAATTATGCCTTCGACGCGCGACCACTGATATGCGTGTTTACGTGCTCTCTATCGTGCCATTGTAATCCGAAATGAAAGCCTCTGGGTGCATCACACACACAGCCAGGCAAGTCCATTTTATTTTTTCAATAAGTCAGCTATCTGTCGTTAGCGCGAGTTAGCTATATCGATCGACGTAAGAGAGAGACAGAAAGAGAGAAAAAGGGAAAAAGACAGAGAGAGAGAGAGAGAGAGAGAGATGTAGTAAAATAATATATAATATATAATATATAATATATAATATATAATAAATAATATATAAGCACATGAATCATGTACATTGACACATACAACGAGCCAGGAAAAATCTTCGCGTGCGTGCCCAACAAATACGCGCTTTCTCACCCTCGTCTACGTACATGCGAAAATATTGTGGCCGACACATTGTGTCGAACTGTAAAGCACGCAGGGAGCAGAGATAATTGACCCCGAGGCTCGCGAGACGAAGAGCAACACTTTGCCCGCGATAATTCGAATACACAGAAAGAGAGAGAGAGATAGAGTGAGCCCGGCGGTCTATCGGAAAAAAACATGTGCTCTCGAGGGTTGCTCGCCGCAAGCTGCGACTACCAACGTTATGAACAGACGCGAGAGTACTCAGAATACTCGTTCTAAACGATCGCGTGACTCTTACGCGTGGATCGCGGCACGAATTGCGTTCTTCGCACGATTATCATTCTCGTGTACAATGTAGCTACGTGAGATGTTCACGAGATGAGAGAGAAATATTGAAAGTGTGCCGCGAAATAAGTTTACCCGCTGGCGCGCGCATTAACGTTAACCACGAGTTCATTACTACGATCGCATCGATTGCGAGGGTCAAAGCGAGTGGCTTGGTCAGCACTTCCGATGGCGGGACCTCGAATATATGCCGCTCGATATAATGAATGGGGGATGCTCTCACCCCCGTAGAAATATTTAATTAGCCCTAATTAAAACGGCCAAGTGAATTATCGCGTGCAGCATGGTTTTCGGCATACATTTGCCCGGCGCGTCGCTTCATCCGTTGCGTCATCGCGAATGCATTTCGGAGCCGCGCGCGAAATGACTTAAAAGCGATTTCGCCGAAAGGTTGCGAGATCACATTCTGTGGAAACGGGTTGACGGGGGTCTCGCGGCTCTTTTCTCGCATCTCGAAATTCCCGGTCGAAAGTCGAGGACATCCTTCGTAATGTACGGATCTCGGGCGCAACGCTGTCTCGCGTTGACGTATTTCAACATTGAAGTGGAAGCGCCGAATGTCGAAGTGTAGCTCCTGCCCGGGAACGATATATTCGTAAAAACAAAAACTGGCGCTTCTAATTCAACAACGTGACTAATCGGGGAATGTGTGGGCTACCCCTCGCGTAACCTACATTCGAAAATTTACGTAATTTATAAAGTGTACACTCGGGAATTCGACCGACGCACCCCGAAGTGATGCTCCATGATTAACACATACACACACCCACCCACCCACCCAC